AGAGGAGGAGGAGGAGGAGGAGGAGGAGGAGGAGGAGGAGATTGAATTTATACCCTGCCCTTCGCTCAGAGTGGCTTACAGCCTCCGTTCCCTCCCCCTCCCCACAACAGACACCCTGTGAGGTAGGTGGGGCTGAGAGAGCTCTCTCCAGAACTGCTCTTTCAAGAACAGCTCTGAGAGAACTGTGGCTTGCCCAGGGTTATCCAGCAGCTGCAAGTAGAGGAGTGGGGAATCAAACCCGGTTCTCCCAGATTAGAGTCCGCGCACTTAACCACTACACCAAACTGGCTCTCATACCCCAAGTTTGCATTTTCGGCCATCTCAGAGATATCCAAAATGATGCAAAACACTCCTGACATTTCGGGAGCAATGAAAATTGATCTCCTGGAATTTTAGGTGGGTTTCCTGTTCTCCAGAGGCGGCGGCAGCGGCAGTGAGGGAGGGAGTAGCACAGCCCTAACAGGTGGACTGCCGCAGTGAGTTTTTAAAAGTTAAAGAGGCCTAAAGGGCTGATGTGCTGCAGCCCAACCTGGGGCTCACTTCCCCCTCCCTCACTGCTGCTGCCTTGTGGGAAGATTTTGCAGGCGTGATTTCTTTAAGGGCATGATTTTCGGGAACTCAATCACTGTACCCCAAACAGATGACAAAAACCTTATGAAGCTCCCTTCCCCTGAAATGTCAGCATAACGAATATCACACCTTTTAAAAAAGAAATAAGTTAAAACAACATGTTTGAAGTGCACGCCTCTGCCAAAAAAAACACCGCTCCAGTTTGCAAGCCGAGGCAGAGGCAACAAGCTGGCGTGGGTGAAGCCAGGGACAGCCAGCCCTTGGGGAGCTGCTGCTGATCGCAGGAATCCAGCGCCCCAGCAGCTCTCAGCCACCCGCAGGCTGGGGTGCCCCGCTTACCTGCACGGCGGCCTTCTTGCTCAAGAGCCACCCACCCAGCCCTTGCTCGGCCCTCTGAGTATTCCAAGTGCTTTGGAAACCTAGAAAACTCTTAGGCCAGGGGTGCCCAACGTGACGCCCAAGGGCACTTGCCGACACATTTCCTGGAGCCTGTCAAGTGTTCTTAGGAAGTGGGCGGAGCCAGGTGGGGCTCCTGACCATCAGGACTTCTGATTGGCTGCTGGAGATCTGATTGGCTGTTCACGTTAAAATAACTTTGGGCGATTTCGCACTAGAGCTGCCTCGCAGCGCAGCCCCGTTTGCCCCGACACAAACATGTTAATTTCACACCTGAGGCTGCTGGGCTGCATTTGACCCGCGGCTTCGCCCGATTTCCTCCACAGTTTCGTGATCCTGGTTTTTAAGGATCACGAAACTGTGGAGGAAATCAGGCGAAGCTGCAAGTCAAAATGCAGCCTCGGGTGTGAAATTAACATGTTTGTGTCGGGGCAAACGGTGGCTACGCCGCGAGGCAACTCTAGTGCGAAATCGCCCTTTGTCTCGGCAACTGCTGCCACCACAGTGTGAGTTTTATTCTCTCGCACACTCCTGTTGCTCAAAGGTTTTTTTTTTAAACTTACCCCTCTTAGGCTTTCTTTGGCGGGGGGGGGGCTCTGCACCCTCTATTTTGAGGCTGCACCCACCATTTGATGTCAGAATTCCAAAGGTGCCCACACAAGCTGGAAAAGGTTAGAGACCCCTGGCCTAGGCTGAGGAAAGAAGGACGCAAAACCACGCCGTTTGCATCCCTGGCCAGATTCCAGGGGATGGAATTTAGGAACCCTAAGGGAAAGGGGCCACGGTGGTTCAGAGGTTAAGATACTGAGCTGCAAGCCTGAAGGTCTGTAGTTCGGCAGTTCAAGACCCAAGTGCCACGTGACAGAGTGAGCTCCCGTCTCTGGCCCTAGCTCCTGCCAACCCAGCAGTTCGAAAGCAAGAAATTGCAAGTAGATAAATAGGTACCGCTTCAGTGGGAAGGTAACAGCATTCCGTGCGCCTCAGCATTTAGTCATGCCAGCCATATGACCACGGAAACGTCTTCACACAGGGCTGGCTCTTTGGCTTGGAAATGGAGATGAGCACCGCCCCCTAGAGTCGAATTCGACTGGCTTTCAAGCAAGGGAAACCTTTACCTTTAAGGGAGGGGGAAGGATCCACTGTCCTGAAAAGGTTCTCTCATAGCACTGCTACCCACCTGTCCTGCGGCGCCACGCTCTTGGGGGGGCTATGGAGATATTGCTTGAAGCGGAGCTCGAAAGCCTGCCCCACGGTGTTGATGACGCTTTGGGCCAGCCCATCACAGCATTCCAAGATGTGGCATGCTTCAGGTTAAGGAGCAAGAGGGGAAGGAAGGAAGGAAGGAAGGAAGGAAGGAAGGAAGGAAGGAGAGAGTTACTCAAGTTACGCAACATGAGCCAGTCCAGAATGTTGGCTGGGTTCATGAAAGCAGGCTTTGGCAGATGTAGCTCGTCTGCCAGGTCAAGAATGGTGCACAAAAATTCATACCCAAGACTCAGTGAGATGCCTCTCTCCTCAAAATAAGAAGGGCCCTGCTGGATCCCATCTAATATTGCATAGAGGCCAGGAGGCTCCCACGTAGCTCTGCCCCGAGACCTCTCCCTGCTCAGCAGGCTGAGTCTATCAGCTGCTACTAGCAATGGTGACTAAGAGGAACCTCAATGTTCAAAGGCAGTCAGCCTCTGAATCCCAGAGCCAGAAGGCAGCATCAGGGGAAGGCCTCTATGCCCTGTTTGTTGGGCCCTCCAGAGGAACTGGTTGGCCACTGGGTAGGACAGGATGTTGGGCTAGAGGGATCCCTGGTCTGATCCAGCAGGTTGGGTTAGAGGGACCCCTGGTTTGATCCAGCAGGGCTCTTCTGATGTTCTTATGAAGGCCTTGTCCTCTATGGCCTGTTGTTGGCCGTCCAGAGGAACTGGTTGGCCACTGTGTGAGATGGGATGCTGGACTAGATGGACCATTGGTCTGATCCAGCAGGGCTCTTCTGATGTTCTTATGAAGGCCTCAGCCTCTGTGCCCTGTTGTTGGCCATCCAGAGGAACTGGTTGACTACTGTGTTAGGCAGGATGCTGGACTAGGTGGACCACTGGTCTGATCCAGCAGGGCTCCCCTGATGTTCTTATGAAGGCCTCAGCCACTCTGCCCTGTTGTTGGCCCTCCAGAGGAACTGGCTGGCCACCGTGTTAGGCAGGATGCTGGCCCAGATGGACCACTGGTCTGATCCAAGAGGGCATTTCTGATGTTCTTATGCTTCTCTCCAAGGTTGGAGAAGCAGATGTTGTGCATAGCATTCTTATGTATGTATTCAGAATATTTTACACCCCATTCTTCTCCTCAAAGGCTGGAGGATTCGAATCAATCCATGATTAAAAAAAAATGCTTTAAAAAGCAGACAAAGCCAAACAAGGTAAGAGAAACTAGATAGAAAAGAGAACTATCGTAAAATTCTGCTAGGCAGTTTCCAAAGCCCTCGTAAGCAATTCAGCCTTGGAAAACGGAATAGGGTCGGCGCTTTGCTGGCATTTTTGGAAGCCTGTCCCTCTGTGCGGGGGCCGCCACTGTAAAGGCCCATGTCCAGGTGGCAGAAGTTCTGACCTGTAGGGCTCTCTCTTCCTCACTCTCACCCCCCTCCCTTCTGCTAGTAGGGAATTGGGGCTAAGTGAGGAGGAGTCATGGGGTGTTCTTATAGCTGGGCGGTGTTTCTTAACAGGGGACTGTTTGGTGGTTTTAATGCCTCCATTACATGATTTGCTGGCTTCTGGAAGGCTGCCTTGAGCACCGCAGATGGTAAATAGGGCTGCCATCCTCCAGGTGGGACCTGGAGATCCCCAAAGATTCCAACTATTTCCAGTCAACAGAGACCAGCTCCCCTGGAGAAATGGCTGCTGCGTAGGGTGGACTCTGTGGCATCATACCCAGCCGAGGCCCTCCCTTCACCCGACTCTGCCCTCCCCAACTTATTTGGGAGCGACAGTCCGCTCCCAAATAGCCAGCAAATTTCCCCACCTGAAGTTGGCAACTCTGGGTAGAAAAGGCCAGATATCAGTGTTCCAAATTAAATAAATGAAAATAGCATTGCACTGTCTCTATTGTACATGCAACACATTTCAGCACAATTTCAGTTTTGAAAAAGCATGGCTGTTGAAAGGCCTAGAGTCCAGGGGCACTTTCAAGACTAACAACATCTGTGGCAGGACAGGAGTTTTTGTGAGTCACCGCTCACTTTTCCAGATAGGTCAAGGCGGGTGGCCGTGTTAGTCTGTCTAGAGCCAGAGTCCAGCAGCACCTTCAAGACTAACAACATCCAGGGCTATTTTTGGGCAGGAACGCACAGGAACAGAGTTCCGGCTGGCTCCCGAGATGGCCACGCCCAGCAGGAACTCATTTGCACAATAGGCCACACCCAACAGCAGGAACTCATTAGGATTGGCTACGTTAGGGGTGTGTGGCCTAACATGCAAAGGAGTTTCTGCTACAAAAAAAGGCCCTGGGTTTTGACCACAAACAAGGTAAACAGAAGAAGAAGCAAAAGGTGGGTGTGGCTGGATGACTACACTTCTGGCAACATGGGGGTGCGGCCAAATATGCTAATGAGCTGTGTTGTCGGGGGTGTGGCCTAACGTGGTTATGAGTTTCTGCTGTTGGGTGTGGTCTATTATGCTAATGAGTTCCTGCTGGACTTTTTCTACAAAAAGAGCCCTGACAACATCTGTGGCAGGACAGGAGTTTTTGTGAGTCACCGCTCACTTTTCCAGATAGGTCAAGGCGGGTGGCCGTGTTAGTCTGTCTGTAGCAGGAGAAAAGAGCAAGAGTCCAGGAGCACCTTCAGGGGCAGGGGAGGAGTTTTTGTGAGTCACCACTCACTTCTTCAGATACAGCTAGAATGTGAGTCCATCTGTCCTATATAGCTGTATCTGAAGAAGTGAGCGGTGACTCAGGAAAGCTCCTCCCCTGCCACAAACTTTGTTAGTCTTGAAGGTGCTCCTGGACTCTTGCTCTTTTCTATTGCTGCAGACAGACTAACACGGCCGTCCATCTTGTTGAAAGACCTGTTCTCCATGAAGGTGGCTAATTCTTCACACACCCATAGTCTTTTTTAAAAGCAGTGAGGTGGGCACAAAGGGGGGGGGGACTCACCTCTTTGGTTGATGGGGTCCTTTGCAACGTATGCCACGTAGTCAGTTGTGTCCTGGATAAGGAAGAAAGGGGAGGGTTGCTGTCGAAAAATGCCATCTCAGAGGAGCAAGAGTGATGGCTGAAAGCTGACCAGTCAGAAACCCTTGCATCGCTGGGAGAACCAGGTTTGATTCCCCACTCCTCCATTTACAGCTGCTGGATGACCTTGGGCAAGCCATAGTTCTGTCAGAGCTGTTCTCTCAAGGGCAGTTTGTGTCAGAGCTCTCTCAGCCCCACCCACCTCACAGGGTGTCTATTGTGGGGAGGGGAAGGGAAAGGAGTTTGTAAGCCGCTCTGAGACACCAAGTGAAAGGCGGGGTATAAATCCAATCTCTTCTTCTTGCTGGTTAAGAGGGTTTGCTCTTTTGCCTCAGCTTGCAAAGACCATTTTCTTAAAAGCAGTTGCAACGATTACGGAGTTACAAGTTTCTTGAGAGTGAAAATGAGTGATGCAATTTTGAGGGGAGATTGCAAGGAGAAGTTGCTGTGCCTTGTGGGACACAGCTGCATAACCAGATGCAAATACCTTTTAGCTGTGTAGCAGAAAACAGGATTTCATTTTGGCCAGGGTCACTAGTCTTTCAGGGGCTGAGAAAATCGGTACCTGCTGAAAATCCTTTTTTCCCCACTAATTCCCCCCTCTGCAAAAGCTGCCCTGCTCGTCTGTGGCTGCCAAAACAACAACGATTCTTGCATTCACCTTAAAGCCAAGGGATTTTTGGGCGACAACATTTCTGGGCCAGAACCCCACCAACAGGTGGATGGTGTGTTAATTCACTAATAGCCATCCCCCAAGGGCACAAACAAATGGGAGGGGCAGGATTTTTCCGAAGCCAGGCCTGAAAAAGAGGCACTGGCTCTGCTGAGCAAGGAAGCTAACTGGACCCAGTCCAGGGGTCATTTCGTAGAAAAAGAGGTGCAGGAGCTCATTAGCATAACTTATTTGCATATGCCACACCCCCTGACATCACCGGAAGTGTGTCAGAAGGCAACACCCACCGCTCAGGCCACCCACTCAAGCTCCACTGGACTGTTTTGGATTGCTAGCTATTGGGGGGGGGGACACGCAGATCTGCCCTCGCAGAGGAGGGAGAGCTTGTACTTGAAGGCGGGCCGGGGGGGGGGCTCTGCAACTTACCTGGCTGCTTCTTGCTCCTCATGGCCCGACTGAGGGCTGCTGGGAGCAGGGGGCGGGGCTTCTTGCATGTGCCTGCTCCCCGGGCTCCTTACTGCCGGAGCTCTGCTCGTGTGTGCTCCCGCAGGAAATGACCCCTGACCCAGTCAAAACACTAAAACCGATGGTATTGCTGTGCGGGCCATGCCCAAAAGAAGAGGAGGAGGAGGAGGAGGAGGAGACTGGATTTATGCCCTGCCCTTCACTACCCAGAGGAGTCTCAGAGCGGCTTACAAACTCCTTTCCCTTCCCCTCCCCTCAACAGACACCCTGTGGGGTAGGTGGGGCTGAGAGAGCTCTTGACAGAAATGGCTCTTTTTCAAGAACAGCTCTTATCAGAACTACGGCTTGCCCAAGGTCATCCAGCCAGGTGCAAGTGGAGGAGTGAGGAATCAAACCTGGTTCTCCCAGTTTAGAGTCCGCGCACTTAACCACTGCACCAAACTGGCTCCAAATTGGCAGTGCATGGGCAAAAGGGTATGTGACCTTGTAAGGGGGTGGGGGACGGACAGACAATTATTCTGTGTCACTCCTGTTCCTTGTTAGGCCCAAAGTTCTCCTCCAGAGAATCTTGGGCAGGTGCCATTTCTTACCCTTCCAGAACTGCACTCCAAACTTCACTTTCCTCTTCTACTCAGTTGCTAAGTACACAGGGGTCTTCTCCCACTTGCAGAAGTACCCATTTCCCTAACTACTCGGCCAGAGACATGCTTTCCCTGGAGGGATGGAAAGTGCATTCTGGGAAGCCGTCCAGCAAAAGCTCTTTCTGTGGCCACTTGACACAGCTCGGCTCTATCAGAACAGCTACCTGGAGGGTGCCTGCCAAAGCCCATCTGGCAGCTTCCAGAATGTCCTAACAGGACTCTTTTTGTAGCAGGAACTCCTTTGCATAGTAGCCAATCCTCCAAGAGCTTACAGTAGCCCCTGTAAGAAGAGCTCTGTACGCTCTTGGAGGATTGGCCACATTAGGGGTGTGTCGCCTAATATGCAAAGGAGTTCCTGCTACAAAAAGAGCCCTGGATTGCCCAACCCAGTTTTGCAGCTACCTGGTGGTGATGGAAAATGCCATCGAGTCACAGCTTACTTACAGCAATCCCACAGGGTTTCCAAGGCAAGAGACGTTTCAGAGGTGGTTTTGCCCTTGCCTGTCTCTACATAGCATCCTGGGGCTTCCTTGGTGGTCGCCCGTCCAAGGGCTAACCAGGGCCAGCCCTGTTAGGGTTGCCAAGTCTGGCAAACTTACCTGCGGGGGAGGCTCTGGCGAGTCCGGGAGCAGGCTCTGTATGCGCGCGCTTTGCACGTGCCGCCGCCACGTCACCAGAAGTGACGTGCAACGTTGCTGACGTTGGAGGCGTGGCCGAGCTCCTCGGGGGGGGGGGAACCATATGGTTTCCCCCCCCG